CGAGAGCGAGTCAACTTGGCGACGGAGAAGATGAAGACCCGATACGACACAAGAGCTACTGAACATCAATTCCACGAAGGAGACAAGGTGTGGTTGTGGAATCCGACTTGACGGAAGGGACTCTGTCCGAAATTACAGTCACTTGGGATGGTCCGTACACAGTCCTAAACAGGCTGAATGACGTCGTGGTTCGAATCCGTAAGTCTTCGAACTCTAAACCTAAAGTCGTTCATTACGACAGGTTAGCTAATTACTATGGCCATAGTACATAATGTAAAAAATTGTAAATAGTATAAGACCATGGTCCATTTTGTTTTTAAATGTGCCTTTGATTTGATTTGTATTTAGTATTTGATTTGCATTTAGTATTTGATTTGCATTTAGTATTTGATTTGTATTTGATAGCACTTGATTTGTTTTATGTATTGCATTTATTGTTCATGTTGTTTATTATTGTAATGTAATGCTTATTAATGCATTTATGCCACAGTTTTAAGTTTAGCTTCCTGTCCAGGGATTGTACTGCCCGGGACGTGCAGTCCTTGGGAAGGGGGCACTGTTACGAATTTGGTATTTAAAAAGCTAATGTTAGTTCAGTTATAAATTATATGGTTTTGTTTCTCGCGCAGTGCAGCGCGTGACGAATATTAAAAGAAAGCTAAGCCAGAAAATTGAAAATACATGAGCGAGTGCATTAAATAAATAAATATCTCTTTTTGATTTCGAGAAAGTACTGGAAAATTCTAGCGCGTGATTTTAAAATCTTATAAAAGGAGGAAAACATCACAGTTTGTAGTAGTTGCTTAGTTTGTTGTTGTTTAGAAACTGCTCTTGTTGATTGTAGCGAATTCGCGGATTAGCTTTCTTTAGCTGTTTTGAATTGCGTTCTATTGGACATTTGAGTAGTTAAAAGATTACTACTGTGAGATATTGTAATACTGCATAATAATTTGAGAAGATTTAAGCATTTTGGTTGTGATAATAATAAATTTTTGTTCGTTTTTCATCGGGCTTGTGCATTCATTTCGTAACGAACCCGTACGCAGTATGTTTACTAAGGTCGAAATATATTTTTTTATATTCATTTTATATATCATTCATTTTAATTACTTTTTTCATTTTAATCTTAAACAGTAGTTTGTAATAAATTCAAAAGTATCAAGGAACTTGCAAAATAAATTTTCTTGCTGTTTACTTATTTTATTTTATTCAAAGTAGTTTGAGTTTTAATTATATTTATGAATAACATAATGAATTCCAAATAGTAAAAGAAATAAATAACAAATAATTAATAATTAAAATTGTTGTGTTACTTTTTTAATATTCTAAGGAAATATAAATCCAGAACTTGACATCAATATATCTAATCAAGCATAGTACGTTAAATAATAAGCAGCAATATTAAGTTCTACTAATTTATAGATCTTCTTAAGTACTCAGGAATGTAAATGATTCAATTTTTCTTAATAGTGGATAGATTCAGTTTTATTGCCATAGATGATATCTTGGCTACAATTATATTTCGAAGTCATAAAATGTATTATATTAAATTCCTTAAAACATAAATATGTGCAGTTTGTTGATCTTAACATAAATAATTATTCCTCTGTTTTTATTCATTTCCCTCTTTATTCTAAGTAATGTCTTTTATAAAGTTATCTATACCGAGAATCGACTAGTAAATATAGCTAAGCAAATTATTTAAACGAATTTCTGCTCGGAATTAAGCCTAAATTATTGGATGATATATTATTATGATATAATTGGATAATTGGATGTTATATAAATCCACCGAAATTTCCGTCGTGTATGTCTGAACTCATTTTTTCCTTGCTGGTTCAGCTTCAAAAGCATTTTTGCTGTATTGAAAATAATTTTATTGCGTGGATGCTTCTTGCTATATTTTTAACTGAAAGCGGAAATGAGTAAAAATTGCATAAGAATAAAGTAATTCAAAAAAGCAATTGTATCTACTACAAATTTGCATATTTTTAATCACAGATAAGTTTTCGGAAATGGAGAAGTGCTATTTTTTTAAATAGCTGTGAGTAGTAAAGAATTTAATGCTTTTATAATATTTCTTGCAATTAATTATATTTACTTAATCTTATAATTAATTAAATCGTAATCATTATCAGCTGTAGAACGTATTCTGGTGTGTATGGTGTGTGGTGTATTTAATTATGGCAAAGCACACTAGGGCTATCTGCCTTAGGGGAGGGATGCCTTCGTGGAGGACGTTCTAAGGGAAACTGGCTCGTATACACGTTACACATGGGGAAAACCACGAAAACAACCATGCAGCCAGCCCGTTCGCGGGATTCGAACCTTAGACCGAACTACCAGTGTTTAGCGACTATACCGCTCGGCAGAACGTATTCTGATTGTTTGTTCTTTTTACTTCTTTAAAATATATAACTTTTAATATGAATTGTGTATATTCCTTATTTTTTATTATAGATATTTGAAGTATGATAGTATTTTTAAAACTTATTATATTAATATTTTATTATATTAATATAACTTATTATATTAATATTTTATTAATATTTTTTATTAAATGAGCACTCGAGGAGAGATTACATTGAATTCCCTAAAAAATGACTTAGAAGACGTAAAACATTTACTGAAGTTTTAGAGAAAAATATTTAATGAAGATTTTATATTTTGTAACATAGTAAAACTTTTAGCCTTAAAATGGCTTAGATTTAAAATAAAACTAGGGATTTCGAATGCGGTTTGACATCAATTCCTCTTTTCCAAAAGTAAAAATGTTTTCCTTAAAATTTAGAAATCCTTTTACAAAAATATTTTTTTTTCTTGAAGAACTTATTTTAAATCATCTTCAAAATCAATAGAAATTTTACTTAAATCTAAGACGATAAAAAGAGCTCTAGCCTATTTTAACATTTTACATTGAAGTAATTTTAGTGCATTTAGTTCATGCTTTATTTGCTATGAAAAATATTCTCACTCTGTCGCTCATTTCTTTCGCTGATTACTTTATCGGGTACTTTCAGGAATTACTTTATCGGGTTACTGTAACTCATATATTAGGATCTTCCATTCGATATCAAATATGTATTATACTCTGAAAAATTTGCATATTTTTTTGTCTTTCAAATTTTTTGTCTTTCTGGCCTCTCCATTCAAATAGTCCATATTCGAAATTTTCTAAGAAAATTGTTGTAGAGCTGTTCTCTTTGAAACGCTAAAAAATAGTACTTAGTCACCTTCGAAGCAACAGGAGTCGGAACAACAACATTATTCCATCGCGTCTGTTATATATGGACACATTAGAAGAATTTTACTTTTGCAGCAGAATGTTTATCGCAGATTGGCCATCGCATCGTTTACCAAAACTTGACCTGCCTGAAGTCCAGAAATCCGTCTTGATATGAAAGAACATTGAAATCAAAGGGGAAAGCATTTCTGAAATAGCGCGGTTGAAAGACGTCGGAAATACGTTTTTAATCAAAGAAAGTCAAGCTTCTTTGTTAAGCACATCATTGACTCAAAGCACGGTACTTGGTTTCCCTCAAACTCTCGTTCAAGACACTCAGACTCTCGTTGAAAAACCCAACATAGCTCAAAATTCACCATTAGACGCCCTGAAAATTGGCGTTTGGCCAACGTTATCAGCAACAGAAATAAAGGACCCCGTTTTCTTCGAATCAGTTGAGAAAATTGCGGGTATTGATTTTTCTCATTAAGACAGATAGCCTCACTACCCCACATAATTTAGTGGCACGGTTAGGAAGTGTTTTCAGAAGAGTAAACTGTGTGTTAGATGTTATGATCATCACGTTCCCCGAAATTTGGCCATTTATGATTTTTATCCGTAAGAAAATTTAAATAGAAAGTGTACGCCAACAATCCATATACGCTGAATAAATTCGATGAAAACATCGTGAATACTAATATCAGTATCACTGTTGAAGAGCTGTCAGATGTGCCAATGAAGGTTCTTCGAAATCCCGAAATATATGTAAACATGAATAGAGACCATTTACGGTTCTCGTTTCAAATTTTGTGCTTTTGAATAAAAACGATTTATTTTCCAGCTCTGCTTTTTATACAAATTCCGGAGACAGGCTACTTTTCCATGGTCCGCCCTGTATTATGATGAACAAATTATACGCTGGATTTCATTTAAAAGCTCTTGTGTTTTTGAGAAAAGTCAATATTAATTACTGATGCTTGCTGCATATTTTTTAATTTTAGTCGATTTTGTTTACTGCTTCAGTGGGATAAATTAAAGTAAGGTGATGTAAAGTAATGATTTTTGAAGTACATATAGAAATAGAATAAAACTAATTAATTTTATTTTTGAACTTTACATGTTAAGTGCAGAAAATGAATGTAATGTGCGGAAGGGAATACTACACTCATCAATGTCAGTTGTGGGACCTTGATTGCAGAATCATAATCAGAAAAATACAAAGGTTTGTTTTTTAATTTCAAAAATGTGCCGGAAATAGTTGCAAAATGAGACACCTGTAGTTACGTTGTTACTTCTAAGAAGGCTTTTGCACAAAATGCTGAAAAGATTGATCTTGGGATCTTTTATAAAAGGATAGAACGATTTCTTGTGTATAATGCTTATTAGATTTAAAAGTATGTAAGAACAATGCATATTTGAACATCCTGTTATTAGTAGTAGCGGAAACACAATCGAGATCACAAAATGTTTATGCGAGGAATTCAATAAACCAACGCATATATTTTGTAAATGAATATCTAAAGCGAATATTTCTCTGTTATCTAATTTTTGTTCTCTGCCATGAAACACGATATCCATAAAGATTTCCATATCTAATCAAATACATGAAACGAATGCAGTGAAATATTCGAATATATAAAAGCGCTTTCATTTATAAAAATGTAGTAATTTAATTTGAAACCGTAATAAGTCAAGAGCAAGAATGATTACTTTATGCAGAAGCATGCAGTACTTATTGAATATAAATAGTCCAACATTTAGGAATTTTATCAGTATTTCATTTCTATAAATCCAAAAACTATGTGGAAACTAACTTCTTTTGCTCTACTGTTTCTTGTTGCTTCGTATTTAGCTAATGATTCCAAAAGCACAACCGTAGATCCATGCCGAGGCGAATGTTTCGACCAAAATGTGTTGGGAATAAGATCAAAGAATTGCAGTTGTCGTCCTGTTATACCTCTGCGCAAGTAAGTTTCATTAACTTATAAAATGCTAGGCTAACTGAACTTAATAAATAATCCATAGTCTCTCTATTATGATGACATCAAAATTTCTTTGAATATCTTTAAAAGTAAGAAAACTGTAAGTGTGTAAAAGAGTAAAAATTATGTTTCCTTCCTTCTGAAGTCCCCCAAATATTACCACGCTAAATGGCTGAGTTTATGGCAACTTTACTAACGATGGGCCCTGTTAGATCATAAAATTAAAACATGTTATTCCTAGACTCGTCTTCTTGGTCACAGAGTCGAATTTTAATTTTAATACTGATAAGTAAGAGATGAGGTTACAAATTATGATCCGTATTTGGTCCCGATACCGTTATACACAAATTTAAGAATATGATAATATATATGAGCGAAATATTGAAACAGAGTACTCAAGTATTGCCAAACAATGAAATAAGTATATGAGAGGGGATGGTTTGTAAAATAGTTTCATAATCTGATAGATCATTTCACTCGGTGAAAACGTGTTACATTGAGAATTGATCCCTTAATCTCGCAGTGATTATTGGATGGATTTTGTACAAAACCTCAGAGTTCAATAAATGTTTAAATACTAAGATACTTTGAAGCTTTACGAGTGTCAAAAGAAAACTGCAGAAATTCTTCGCCAAGTCTTAACATCTAAATGGAAAAAATAGGGATAATTTTACAGCAGGTCTGTGGTTTCAAAATGATAAAGGAGACAGCTGCATACATTCTGCTTACATATATTTAAATATATCTATGATTCATGCACATTCACAAGAATTTTCACATGAAAAGTTATTGTTGTAAAGAATTCTACTTAATGATCTTGCTCTCAGCTATACGTCAAAAGCTGAATATCGTATCCTGCTTTGCTTTTTTAAATTTAACAAGTTTATGTTATTTACACTATGAGAACGTATTTTAAAAGTTGATGATATTGCCGGTAGTTAATTCATTACTGAGGATCATAACTTTATTTTTGAAATGATTTTTGAAGTACATATTATTGTTGGATAAATACGTTTGCAAGATGTTATGCTAATCAACCATTTATTATGATATGAACTTTTACTTTAACTTCTTCTCTCCTTAGTCCTTAGCAGAACGCAAATTAGTTTCTTGCGTATGAATGTTTCCGAATCAGAGCTTCTGGCAGCCTCTTGCAGTTAACGTACTGTCGCGAGCTTTGTCAAAGTTTTTCTGACTTTAGCATCTTGCTAGCCGACGTTTAAAATGCGCGCCATTAATCAAGGTGAGCTAGCTTAAGTAGTCTACTAGAATGTAGTCTCAGACTGCATTACCTATACTGAAATTAACTTCATCTTATGGTACATTAAATACCCCTCGATAGGTTGCTGGTAGGGAAAAAGGACTGGGAGACCCTCTTAGTGCTCCTAGGATGCGACCAATGGTGAATTTTGAGCCGCCCAGTTATAACTGTTTGTGAGGTCGATTTTAAGGTGGGGAAGGAGGTTTGAAAAAAAATGTAATCACGTTCCTGTTCACCAGAAAAAAAGTGGAGAAGTTTAGCAATAATTTCGAACGCGCTTTTTAATCGAGATTCAAGTAAACACATTTGTATTTAAGAGAAGAGAATGGTGAATCCGTAAGGATGAATGCAGATCAAATAAAAAAAACATTTTGAAAGGACTGATAGGTCGCTTATAACATCGGTATCTCAGGAATCGCCTGGCTTAAACATTGCAGGGCTATCGGAAATTCCGATTGAGTCAACAGAGGCGTCCATCTCATAAGACTCGCAGACAAAAAGAGAGAATTCGGAAAATGAAAAAGAAAAGACTACACAAGCTGGATGACCCGCAAAAAAGGAAAAGCTACAGAGGATGGATGTACAGAAGAAAGAAAAAAACAAGGACTATGCCAAACGTTCAAGGCAAAGTTTTAAGTTACCTGAGATGTAGCAAACAGCTGAGCAAAAAACAACAGCTAATTGAACTACGGCGAAAAGGGGAATGTCAAGGGGAAAAACATATACAGGAAACTTGCACTAGCAGGGAAATGGTAAATCAGTTAATGAGAAATTCACTTTATAAACTGCTGGTGGACAAGGAACCAGTACAAAGGAAAGCCAAAAGAATCAGCGATTGAAAAACACAGATGAATGGTAGACCAGGACGGCGGAAAGGAATCTTTCAAGGACAAAATACGACCAGAATGTTCCGAAAGGGAAATGAAATCTATGAGAATAAAGGACCCAGTCCAGAAACGAAAGAAGATGCCTCGAGACTAGCATAGTTATCAACCCCAAAACTCTACAAAAATTTAAAGAACATTGACTTACTCAACTTGAAGCAAATTTCTAGAAAACGTGTATGACTGACTGCCATAGCAAAAATAAAAATAAGTGAAAATTATTTAAATTATGTCTTCACATATCAATTTATTTTATGTATGTGTACGAAGGTTCTAGTATACATTTTTACCCCAAGCGAAGATGTCTAAAATGAAAAACCTGTATTGAGTAGAAACGTTTGGCGCGAAGTCATATAGTACTAGCTAATGTACACTGTGCAAAAAAAAGGGGAGGGACTGTTCTACTGGGCCGATTGACAAAATTCAAATTGCGTTTTCTATGTCCCGAAAGCACAACTTAGGTTATGTATTAGATTTATATACGGCATTGTTCTAACATATGTATTTTGACCAGTCAAATCGGACTTTTTCTGAAATAACTTACCAAATTTTTCCATATTTCAGTTCTACGACTCAAGTTATGCCTAGATATTAAATTTTGTAAAACTTTGGTGCGAAATTTACGAGGAAATTAAGAAATCTCTCTTGACCCAATTTTTTTCAGTTTGCGCCAAGAATATTTATTTCACTTGTCGGACTTCTTTAATATATGATAACCGATTTTCCTTTCCCTTTCATTATGCAGGAACGGAAAAAAGACAACTCGTTCCTACCTTTTTACATTGAGTATGAGCGGAAAGAAAAGTGTCATATCGTTTCTTCTTCGAAATAATTTTAACAAAGTGTCTAAACCACATTTGATGTTTTATAGCTTTCAACAAATATGCCAAATTTCAAAACGCGCCAATATATAAATTCACGTATATCTTTGGAAATTTTGAATAAAAAAACTGTAATATTTTGCAGGTATGCTTAGAAATACAAGACGTTGGTGAAAACGTCCTAGATTATAATTCAAAATGTTTTGAAAAATATATAATAGTTATTTAAAAATATAAATTTTAAAAATAAATCACAAAAAAGGGGGAATTTTATTTGAAATAAACCTGAATTTCGAAATGTGAAAGGAAGAATCACATAAGTTTAATAAAAAAAAGAGAGATTGATAAATATATACCAAATTCAATTAGCATTGATGAGATAAAATTTTGGGAACTCAAAAACTATTCGTGCGATTTTTAAAAACTTAGTAGTTTGGCGTAATTTGAGTCGTAGAATTGAAATATGGAAAGAACTTGGTATGTTATTTTAGAAAAAGTCCGATTTTGTGTCAAAATACCTATATTAGAATAATGCTATATAAATCTAATACATATCCTAAATCACGCTTTCAAGACATGAAAACCGCAAGTTGAATTTCGTCCATCGGCTCAGTAGAACGAGAGATATAAAACTGTCCCTGTTTTTTTTTTACCCGTAGTGTACATTTCTATGTAAAGTTAAATCTAAGTAAAAGTAATTTTTAACAGCAGTGTGCTGAATGAAGCTCAGTATATCGAGTGCATGAATAAGATGTGTTAACCGCTAATGTATCGTAAAAACGTAATAATATGCTTTTATACTGTTATTATAAAGTTTTACAGAGTGCTTTATAGAGCGATATTTGACATAGAATTTTATAATGTTGTTTCAAAAGTTATTTTAATTTTATTATCATATGATAATTACAGCTAATTTTCTTTTATATTCATATTTAGCTAAGTAAAAAATATATGTTTTCAAAATAACTTGCAATTTAACATTTAGATTCTGATTGAATAGTCAAACTGACAAAAATTCGATTATTTCTAGAGACAGACTTGCAATAAAAATTCGACTTAAAAAAGAAAAATAAATTATTAATATGTGAATTCTGTATTTATTCGTCTGCATTCGTACATGTGATATTTAAGCTAAAGAGCCTGAAATCATATTTTGAGGTAAATAATTTAGTGGCTATCATATATCAGTAAGGAAAAACTTTTGGCAATATTTTCTATTTATAGAGAGCCTGTTTCTACTAACATTATGAAAACAAAATTATCTCATTTGTTAACAGGAAACCTTCTCTTATGTCTGTATTAAACCTTTTAAACTAAGCAAAATTTTGATGCTGTTGGAAAGAGAAAATACAGACTATGTTCAATATTTTGAAATATGTGAAATACAGCAAAATGAAACATACACTTAATAAGTTCTGTCAATATCACATTTTAACAAATCTTCATGATATTCATAAAACATCTCTTCATCACATTGTATTCTAAGTGAGTGTACGTACAAATTGTGATCTCGTTCCTTATCAAGGAGCAGTTTAAAAAAATTTTGAAGCTAGTGACAAAAACCCTGAACGAATTAAATAAAAGCTTATAAAAAAAGCTGGTTTCTAATAAAAAAAAATCTGAAGAGGACACTATATGTCTTCCTTATAAGACCTTTTAGATTATACACATTTCTTGTTGCACTTCATTTAAACTTATTTACTCGAATTTATTAGAGATATATTTCTCATTCAATCAGTTTACTTCTCACTTTGCGGCAAAGCAAAAATATATAAAAAAACAACTTCGTTAAAATCTGTAAAGTATAGAAGATATGATAACGCCAAGTGCAGTTAAAACTTTTTTTGCAATTACAGTTTTTACTCCAAAGGAACCAACGGAAAGTAAGAGAAAATTTTCGGTGCACCCAATTTAACGTTAACATTTCACCCCACTCGGCTAAAATCGTTGGTGCAACAGTGGACATAATTCACCATTCTACCAAGTTTCAAATATCAACAAATAGGGGCCTCGTAGGCCGAACGCCACTTTAACATTTAAATTGCTGATAATTCTACAACTATTGCAAGCATATTAACTAGAACCATAAAAATCTTAACCGGAACAAAATAACAATATAATTCAGTTATTTTTAAAGAAAAAAATGTACAATTTAACAACATATAAGAATAAAAAACAGAGCTCGTCTAGCCGGCTAAAAGGGTGCGTATATAAATATATATATATATATTTCCAGGGTGCTTGCACCAGGCTAGAGTTCATTATTCTGATTCTGATTTTCAAGCTAATAGAAAGAGTGGGGGCTTGACCCCTTGCGGGTCTTGCTCTCATGAGCGCCGGCTATTGTGTCGGATTAGGAGTCTGATTTGAGTCCTGCGATGTGAAGTTAAGCTGAAAAAAAAAGATCAGGACGTTTGTCCTGTTGCGGTCTTGCCTAGCAGCGGATATGATTTTCTCTCGGCGTTTAGCTGGCGAGAATTTGCGTTGGCAAAAGGCGTAGACCTCAGCATAAAATTTCGATTCTCTTGTTCCAAGAATTGAAATGCAGATTCTTGTGGTGATCCTGATGTGGTATTCCTGTTTTTCCCGACTTTGACTTGTGCGTTGCTGTTTATTCTGCCTGTTTCAGCTGCGTCGAATTTTTCATCTTTGCATGCTCTGGAATTTATAAATTGTAAGGACAGCTTCAGTGGTGTTTCAACCAAGCCATCTTTAAAATTCGCAAGAAATGTCTGTCTCCATTAACAAGGATTTTGGGAATAAAGGACAGCAGGAAGAACGTGGTGCTCGGGTAAACTTTGGACGCTGGACGATCTGTGGAGCTGTCAAATCGCCTTATTAATCAGTATACAAAGGTATTCCCGAGTAATGGGAGTGTGCGGTATGGACTTCACCCCTTGAGTGATTTGTTTTTCTTATTTGTTTTACTTTAATAATTATCTTAGTACTCAAGCAAGAGTCGTCATTTTAATGTTTGTTGAAATCTGAGTAATTACTTAAATTAATTAATCGATGTGAAATTTATCAGTGTTCTTAAAGGGAATTACCGTGATAAATACTTAAAGTTAGAAGATGAAATGGGAGAAATACTAGTGTTACACTTATGATGCAGTAGGATTTGATAATGTTAATCATAATTAATGTAAGCTGTAATTTGGTGTGATATTATGTGTTATTTTGCATAGAAAAATATGTGGTAGGGAATACTGATCAGTTATCCATTATTTAGTAATATAATAATATTATAGAATTTAATAAATGTGTTTGATTTAGAATTTTTTATGTGCATTTGTTTATTTAGTGTGTTAATTTACAGTGGTCTGTCATGTCCCTCCATTTGTTTGAGCCGGGAGGCTTTTAAGAAACGTTGAGTTTAATTGAATTTGGGGTTATTGATTTTCCCTAGTGGGCTTCACAACGCGCCCTATTGTACTAAACCAATACCACTATACAATTGATAAGATATGTTAAACAATTGATTGTTCGATATGATATATGAATTAAATTTGTGTTGATTATGTTATTTTTTAGTTAGGTTGTCCGGCACCATGTGTTAAGTTGAGTCAAACTTTTAAAAGGGTATTAAAACCCCCAAATTTTCAGATATTCAACAATATTAATTTTTCAGATATTTAACAACAGCGAACGTAGTTAACACGAAGATAATATAGAAAAATGAAACGAAATAAGATGAAGAAATCAATATCAGTCCATGACATCATCGAAATGGGGTGGCATCATAAAAACGAAGATGATTTCTCAAGAATTCACATGCTACTTCTGCTTCCATCTCTCGTCTCGATGGCGGAATAGTCTGAATCCTTCACACAGCTTGAAGAACTATCTAACTGTTGAGGACATTGCCATTCGTAAACGCAAAAAGGGCCTCTGTGCCCACATATGTAAACTTATATTTATAAACGTATATGTGTAAGGGAGAGGCTGGAAATATATATACCCACCTCTCGTAGCCTCTCCCTTCTAAATATGCGTTTGGTGCGCCAAGTCCAACAAAAAAAGGAGGTGAACAACTAGATGTTATAGCGGTCCTATCTACGAATAAAGGTCTTATACAAAGCTTTTAAGTTAGTCACAGTGTAATTCAAGTGACATTTGTTTCCCAAACAGTAATACTTTATAAATATAAAATATATATATATACCAATACTCTGTATGAATGTGAACTTCTGTATTTGTTTCTGTCTTTTTTCCTTTTCTTAAGATCTGTGAAAAGGTTTGAGGATTACAGAAGCCAATACCGTGACAACCTGTTGAAAGATTATTTGGAGCAATATGAAGATTTGAAATAAATTTTCCATTGCATCTAAGGTAAGCTATTTTGAGCAAAATTCTCCTAACGTAGTAAAACGGAGTTTGAGCGGTTTACAAACGTTTAGTTTATCCGTTAATATTCTGCAAAACATTTTAGAACTTTGTAAGTTTGGAAAACGTTAATTAAAATGTTCGAGGAAATTAGTAAAATTTGAATATATCTTTGAGAGCTAATCACAGTAGTAAATAGTATGTATTTGATGTCATGGAAGTCAAGTTGGATTCGAGAACAGTCAAAATAAACATTTCCGTTGAAATTTGAAACTCGAAATTTTCGGCGATGATAATTCTTTCTTTATTTTGTACATGGAAATAAAGTATAATATTGATCAATACTTTTCACATTTACGTGCGTAGAAATTCTATTAATATCAAAAAATTTTATTGGATGATATTTTATTTTTAATTACATACAGATGCAAAAATGTAGCTCTTCAGTTTATGTGCGGGCTTTGTGTATTACTGCCATCTTTAATTTCAATATCTCAGGTAGTTTTTTCCCGCGCGAGATTCGCTCTTTTTGAGTTTTACTTTTTTTTATTATGAATATAGGATTTATCTAAATATAAATATACGAGCAGGAGAAACGCATAAAGGACTAATTTCTACAAAACTGGTTTCCACAAAGCCCATAAGTTTTACAAAATTAATTTCTTTAAATTTACAAATGCCAATATATGAATATTCAAGTCATTCAAAACATTTTTTGTATTTGGAAGTACATGTCTACGACCAATGTTAGTGAAAATGAACGCCGGGTAACGACTTCTGTGGATACCTTGTTTAATGCTTCATTCAGTAGTATATTATGCAAGTTCTTGATTTTGTTTCAGTTTAGCAGCTGATGTTTCACCTGCTATATTTAAGTTTCGCAGGTGACCGCTGGACCTCCCATTGCATTTTCATATGGAAACATTTTAGTTGATGTTTATACATTTAGGTAGAATTGCTAATCGTGTTTAAAAAAAGTAATTTATGTTTCCTAAATGGACAATCTGTCCTGGCAGCTGAAATAGGTATATTTCAGAAGGTAATATATGTACGTGATTATTTCACTCAGTCTTTCCAATCTCTTTCTATGCGTAATTTGCCAATTAAATTACACTGCATATGCCATTTGATTATCAGTTTTACATAGTGTTTGCTCTTATCCACGGTAAGTCTTGAAACATGCTATAAACAGCATTATTGCAACTGAGTTATAAAAGAACTAAAGCTACACATCTGTTTCATAATAGGATAATATTTGGTGATAGAACATCATAAGTTTTAACTCAGCTTTTACTAACTAAGTGAGGAAAGGTCTGTTGTGATAAAATCTTTATCTTCATCATAATGAAAATAAGTTCAAACAAAAATGAGTTCAAAAAACATTATATTTGCATAATTTCTGATTATATTTTTTAAACTCTACATCTAATTAACTAATGATTTTATGTCTCTTGTCTTGAAAGAATTAATTTTATACTTTATATCAAACTTTTGTTTCAACACGTGAAAAGATTAAATGTTCTTGCAGCTTTATCAGTGTGCGATAGCACATAAATGCTGTAAACTGTTCCGAAAAATGCCTCTTCAAATTCACATTAACATACTATTTAACGTCTAAAAGAAAACTATTAGAGCGCAAATGTTAGGAAAGGATTTCCATATTTAATATCCATTTAAATTATGCTGAAAGTTACTACTTGATGCATTTCCGTTTATCTCTACATAAAATTTTCCAAAACAGTAATTAAATGGCACTGTTGTTTTTTAACTTTTTTAAATATTCAGTACGATATTTGCTTGGGTTTGTTTCGCATAAATTAACATCTTTTTCTGTCATAATTAAGGTTTCATAACACAATTTAAAAAAAAATTCATTTTTTTTTCATATTAATATCAAATTTACCACCCGATTGACAATTTTATATGATAAAATGAACTGTAAAAGTTAAGGAATGATGGAAAGATTTTTAAAGTAGGCAATTCATTGCAGGTTTCATTTTTATTCAACTTCTAGGCAGATGTATTAAAATTTTTATTTCTTTTCCCTTAGGTGCGCGGAAGAAGAAAGAAAATAACATGATTCCATGAAATCAATTATATTATTTCATGTTTTTCATTACATATTTCATAAAAGGCAATCATACCCTGTTGGAATGAAGTATTTTGATTAAATCATAAAATACCACTGTAATCTTTGAAATAAAGTACGTGCAACTTCTGAAACCGTCACATTTATTTCTCTTTATAGCTTTGAATCAAATTGCGTTGTTTAAATCTTGTTGTTTGCGTTGTTTAAATCACATATAAACAATTATCTACACAATAAATTAGTATTCATAACGAATACTGCTGAATTTTATGGCGCTGACATTTAAAGAGACTGAAGGAAGATATTGTCATATTTATATTCATACTACATAACTGTATATGGTAATCACAATAAATAAAATATTTATCTAAAACTTAAAACTTATACAACGTGCTAGATTACATACGAATACATTTAACAGTAAAACTAGAAAGTTTATTTAAATTGTAGAAATTCAACATTATAACAATTCATAAAGTTTCACAATTTTTTCTTAACAGTTTTAAGTAGATAAAGCAATAATCCATCAGATGTCTTCAATAGAAATAACATTTCGATAATTTTAAAGCTTATATTCAGTAAGGTGAAGTAAAAGTCTGTTGATTTAATTTCTTTTGCACTGAATATGTCCGTGTCCAAAAAGGTTGCTGTGATCCCTTTTTTTTTTCGCAGACTTCGTACAAGAAAGCATATTTTTCGGTGCACAAAACTGAAAGTTTATTTTGGTCCCAATCAGCAAAAAGACATTGAAGGTACAGACACTGACTTCATTCACTATTCTACTAAGTTTTAAGTGTAAACAAACATGGCTCGTATGGTAAAAAGATTAGGCTTAGTCAATTTAAACAACTTTCACACTGTTGATTATTCTACAGCTATTACATGCAGATTAACTAAACACATAAAAACCTTAACCGTCAGATAAGAACAATATAATTCAATCATTTTTAAAGCAAAAAATGCCCAATTTACCAACACATAAGAATAAGAAAAGACTGAGCTAACGGAGCCGAATAACGGAGGGGGTATATATGCATATTTATGTACTTTTAGTGCAGCCGATTGCAACCAAAAAGGGAGGTAGGTCTGTATTGCATTAATATGGATATCATGAGAGAAATAAGCTTTAGGAAAAAAGAATGGTATGGGGATTTGTTTTTATATTTATGCATTAAAAATATTCTAAGCCAAGAACTGGCGTTAAACAAAAAAATGTTTTGCTGCGACAAATGCAAAAAAGAAATCTTTAGTGGTTTTAAGAAAATATCTTTAACGCTTTTAATTCACTGTGCCGTGAGTAATATTGTTAGACTGATACTTTTCCAACATCATGAAATATTCAGAAGAAAGAAATGAACACATTATGCGAATAAGGAATGGAAAAAATGAAAATTATGAGAGCTTTTTCAAGCTCTCATAGTTTTCATTTGCTAAATAATGCTAATATTAAACACTAAAGGGGTAGGAAGAAAAGCTGAATTATGTAAAATTAATTTATCGAAATAATGCAGCATGTATTACTATTCGAAATAATATTAGAATAATGATCACATTGTATTACACCATGAAAACGATAATAAGACTGATTATAAAAAAATTGAATTTAGAATACGTGCATAGTTTCTTATTATTATTATCATCAGAATTGTCTTTACCTCAGCTTTCCAAATTTTTCGGACGACTGCGCGACGTTTACCGTTAAGTTACTGTGCTTTGTTTTACTTTGCTATGCTATGATCCTCGCCGGAGGCAAATTTCGCAATCCGAACAGATCAAAATATTTTTATTCATCTTTCATGAGGTTTCGCAAATAGCCGTTTTGAAAATGTAGCATTCGGGAAAACATGAGATTTTTAACGTATTGGTTATATTAAATAAATCTGTCTTCAATAAAGCATAACTATTTAAATGAAATAAATGCTTATTTTAAAACTTTTATAATAATAATGTAGGCCCCATTTGCCGAATAAACCAGACCTCACTTTAAACCATTTTTAACTCTGATACAAATTTCTATTGTATTTCCATTGTTCTTTTCATGTACAATTAATTATGAGCCGTTTTACATAACATGCTTTACACGAAATTATCATATGCACGATCCGATTTAAGAACTGGAAGTCAGTAACAAAACCCCTTTCAAAGAGCAAATTCTCTAATTATTTTTCGGCGTAATAGATTTAACTGATAAAAGTGTTTCTTAAAACAACCTAATAGCTCAGCAATTTTCCATTTTAGTGAGTTAAACAAAAACATGTACTGAAAACTAAAAATATTAATCTTAAAATTTTGCATGAACTTTTAATTGTACATTTTTATAGCCTCGAATTTAAAAACACGTACAAATTTTACATTTAAATAACATAGAAGGATTAGAAAGTTTCTTGACCCTACAGACTTGAGGCACCTACCCATTGCTGATATTGCCCCTTTGTAAATAAGGCTCTTATCCCATTGCTGATAATGGACTAAAATATCCTAAATAGTATCAGTGGACTGTAATAAAATTTAAATATCAAATTAATTTAACTTGCTTGGAATTTAATTAAACTCAGCTTGGATTAGATTAAACTCAGTAGATTTCAATTGAACAGGCATGAATTAAAGTAAAGTAGGTAATAAACTAACCTTCTCAGAATATGAATAACAATCGAATCAAATAAATTCTATGCTAAAGAATTTATTTCAACTCAAGTTTTTGATTCATACATATAGGCCCCTGGAGTAAAAAGTCACTTTAGATATGGGACACTGAATTTTTTAATCTTATGCAAACGCTTGCTACTCGTACTTGCTGATTGGATCTTGGATTCTGGTTGATTGAGACTTTGTTGATTAGGTGCGAATAATCCTACAAATTCTTCAGTTAAGAGGTGGAGATTCATCATGAATGATAAAAAGATCATTTCATAGGAAATACAGTTTAGGTCTATTCTGCAAATGAAGTAAATAAAATGTTACCTATCGTTCCCAGAATTCCTGCTTTATTCATTGAATAGGTTAGGTTCCATCGAGAAGACACGGTAATATTTCTTGATTGTCTACTTTCAGGAATTTCTAAAAGAAGGACTCCAGTCAAGAAATACTCTAGGGTAAGTACTCCGACATTTCAAGGATCTGAAGAAAGGGAAGTTAAGGTTCTAGAATTAAGATAAGATTTAGTTTGATATGGTAGAGTAATTAACTTTTCGAAACTGAGAACACTCGTTTTAGATACATTAAGTAAGCGATTTTTGGTAAACGTAACATCTGGTTTCCAAAACACACCAAAGTGAGGAGAGTAAGACAGAATAAAATACCAATTACTGAAGCAGAATAATTTTAGTAAAAAATAAAACGTACGTTTGTAGAGACATTAGGTTTTTGTGGAAGCAGGCAAGATGAAAAATTAGCAACGCCTTCGCTGGAAAACAAACCACGGACCTCTGGATACGTGCTCAGCGTGCAGACCACTACACCACGAAGGCATGCCAAGAAGGCGGGAGAAATACCTTATATGCTCCCCCTTTTTATAGGGCGATTCGGGTTTTTAGAGGACGCAATGGCCAAATTCTGGGTGTGGAGAATCATCTTCCAACATCCTTTTAGTTTGGGCGCCACTGTAGAGATATTAGGTATTTTTTGGAAGCTGGCAAGATGAAAAATGAGCAACGCCTTCGCTAGGAATCGAACCATGGACTTCTGGGTACGCGCCCAGCGTGCAGACTACCACACTACGAAGGCATGCCAGGAAGGCGGCAGAAGTACCTTAACGTTAAAAAAAGAAAAATGTACGGAGTTGTCATTTAGTGTGACGTTAGAAACATAAATCAAATATCTAACTAATGCAAACTCCCCTTGAAGTTATAACGTTGCGCGCCTCCAACTTGCACGCAACCAAGAGGTGACTGTGAAAACTTGTATAAAAGATAGAGCCTTGTGAAGGGTTTAAGTCCCTTTTTATTCAACGTAATAAAGCTTTTCCGCTCCATCTTTTTCCGCTATTCTGCGATTTTGAAACTTCACCGCCAATTCGAAGAGCTCCTGCAATGTGCTTGGGTTTCTAATTTCGAAGTAGTCTTGAACAGCGGGCAACAATCTTGGTAAGATTATTTCAATAATTTCCGCATCGGGTTTCTTCCCATACAGCATATCCGTCAGCTTAATTTTTCGTAGAATAAAGTCCGTCAAATCTTCTATATCCCGTTGATAGAAACTATATAGTTCAGCTTCCAGCCTTGCTCGATCTTTCACTATGGGGAAGGCCTTTACTAACGATTTTTTGAAATTTTCAAATGTATATGTCTGGCTTCCAAATTCCCCTAATAAAAATTTGCCTATATTTTTCCACCATAGCGCGGCCTGTCCTCTTAGTGCGGATGTGGCGATGGCAACTTTTTGTCTTCCAGGAACAGGGTAGAGCTGAAAGTGGTTTTCTAGACCTTCTAAAAATACCGCCACCGAATTTTTTCCGTCGAAATGGACGTTTGGCTTGATTGACGCTCTCAAAGTCTGGACCAGGTATCCAAATCCTTCCAATTGGCTTGTCATTTCTTGGTGTTGTCCAGCGGCTTCCATCCAATTTTCGGCCATTTCAGTTCGATAAGTGTTCGGGCGCCAATGTAGCGTTGCGCGCCTCCAACTTGCACGCAACCAAGAGGTGACTGTGAAAACTGGATAAAAGACAGAGTCTTGTTAAGGGTTTAAGTCCCTTTTTATTCAATGTAATAAATTACAATTGCGTCCTCTTGACGCTTACAGACTGTGCCAACTTGGCAGTCAAATAAAAATAATAACCTGAAAAGAAAGTAAAGACAAGATTCTAACTACGAGGCTCTCTAAAATAACTAACTCACCGCGTTTTACAATGCCGCTGCTAATTCAGCAGACTTGAAGCTCACTGGAACGATTACCACTACTTCCCGCCAAGCACATAGGCCGCAACGCGGGGTTCTTCAATTCTCGCTAACTACCTCCGCGCTCGTGCAGTAAGAAAATCTCACACCGAACTTGTTTCCTCTCTATTTAAATCATACTACTTCCGCTGATAATTTGAATCCTTGCGCGTTCTACTAAAATTTACATATTCTGGCATTGGCAGTTCCAGGGGAAAGTAAGGCTTGACAGGAAAGATAGTTTAAACTTAAAATAAATG